GTCCACTGTAACAATCGCATCCTCCAACGGAACGACAGGCGGCAAATTACGATCAGGAGGTAACGAAGCAGGCAACTGGTCTGGAAATAAATGCGCTTTTTCCAGCAACAAAGCCTTAAGACGCAAATCCGCAGGTGACTCGCCGCGCACGACGTCACTAACCTTCTGCGCGAAAGCGGAAACAGACGACTGCGATGGCGGAAGTGACGACTCCCCCCCCCGGCAAATTGACAGCATCCGGAACAGGATCCGCAGCCGAGACGAGACATAAGTAGAACGTGTCACTCTCCTCCATGGCCTGCGCAAGTGAGCAATGCGCAACTGCATCCAGAACTTCAGGAGAAGAACTAGATGGCTTAGGAATCGGTGTAAAGGGACCGTTACGCAAAACAGGACGACCCGAGATACGAGTTAAACGGGCAGCGTTATTGCATAACTCAAGAATAGCCCCAGTAGCCGAAATCCAAGGTTCACCCAAAATAAGGTCGAACGCGGGACTAAATTCAACGACAGCGCACTGCAAGCGAGCCTTATAGCCCTGTATACGAACAGGCACTTCAGCAAAGCCTACAAATGGAACTGGCTGTCCGTTACCCACGACGATCTTGGGTGCTGCAGTCGAACCGTCAGGCGGCTTAACCACCAAACCCACGCGCCGTGCAAAACCTGTGCTGAGTAAATGAGCGGCTTGACTGCCCGAATCGAGCAAGATGGTCGCCTCCTGCTGACAAACAGAACCTGCGAACTGCATAGCCAAACTGGGAGACACCGAAAAGGGGACGGTTGTCGCAACGCAAACAGCCGACTCGGAAGGAGACTCGACAGGAGCATCATACCAGAACTCCATTGGCGAGAAAGCTGATTGCACGCGAGACATGTTACCTTTTCCCGACGACACGGAAAACAGGTGATACCCCGCATGGTATTCATGAAGCTTTTTCATGCCTGCAAGCAAAGGACGCCAACGCGCTGTAACCCACTTAGGAAGCAAAAATCCTCCAGACGTGGTCGATGGCGCAATCGACTTGCAACGCAGGTAGTGACGCAAGAAATCTTGAATATGCGCCCGAGGCGGATGTATCCAAACGTGATGTCCTGCGCAGCTATCATGCAAAAAGCTGCGAGAAGGCGAACTATACTTCGGACACAAGGCATTAGACCCATCGTTAGATGCGCAAGCATCCCAAGTGAAGTGACGACCGGAAAGCTGCTGCAAGTGCTGAAATTCGTGCTTGCGAATGCAAAGTTCTTGAGGCGGAGGGACATCTGCAACCGGCATCGAACTGTTCGTCATATTACAATAGCGAGAAGGCTCTGTAACCAGACGTACGTTAAAAGCCGTGTTCAGTTCCGACTGAGAACGATTCACAACGCGATCACTTGCATTTGACAACTTCACAGGCGCACTCGACATACGGGTGTTTCCACTTGTCCGAACACTATCTTCGGTACACTATGTGCTAGTGTGGACTTAGTGTGACGGTGTTTCCACTACCGGCACTAAGGAGCGCCGAAACCAAAATTGTTTTCGTATTTTGAACGTTTTAGCGCCAGGGATTAATTGCTGTTAATTCTCAAGGTCTGTAAGAATTCGCGTATTTAAGATCCGCTGCGGCGCAGACTGCGTCATGATGTCTGCCATGAAGTCCGCATGGTGCATTGGCAACGTCCGGCCAGCGAAGGAAGGCAAACTAGCGGTATATGTTTGCTGAACTTTATTGAAGGAGGGCTCCATTGCAAAATGGCGGTGTTCTGAGGCTGTCGGTGTTGGGCGTGCGCAAGTCAACGCGGCGTTTGCAGGAAGGAAAAAAGATAGCTGCTTACGTCTAAAGTCTATGGTCAGAAGGGACAATCCAGCTCATAAAAGTTGCCCGCCAAATAGTTAGTGCTAGGTACTAAAGTTAATGGCAGGTCTGAGGTCCAATTAACTTTAGTGTGCGCTAGTGTGGACTTAGTGTACGGGGTGTTTCCACTAGGCCTTACGGTTCTCCGCCAGGAGTGCCCCGACCTCCAATTTGTTTGATGAATATTTTCTACTATCATTAGTAGTATCAATATATGCATTTAGAATGGTGAGAGACGAGTCCAGGACGAAGAACATTCAAACTTAGTGTTAGTGTTCGGCCAAGTGGAAACACCCTGATAGTCGCCAAAGACTTGTGCGCTTGCCGCTGAGGCACGCCCGCAGGCGTCGGCTCAACCGACACAGCCACAGATGGTCCAGAAACAACAGGTAGTCGGGCAAACTCAATTGCACTTTAGCCGCAGCGTCCACTGAAACAAGACGACGTCTGTCAGGCTGCGGAGGATCGAGGGGGCGCAGGCGCCGAGTAACAGTGCCCGGCTGTGAATCGGACATTGTAGCATCACCGTTGACCGGCGACGGAAGCGGCGCCGGATCCACGGCAGTAGGAAGAGGAACAGCCCGAGGTTGTGACCCAGAAGGCTGATCAGGCGAAGCGACCGTAGGCGCCGGTGCAAGCGCCAAGGCCGCCAGCGGCGAAGTAACGGTGTTTACCGCCGGATCGGCCGAAGCTCCAGTATTCATTCTTGGAGAAGATAAAGGAGATGAAGAAGTTTGAAGAACGGTAGATAAAGCCGACCGACGATAAAATGAAAGAAATGGCCGAAAAATGTGTCGTCAGAAGTGCCCATGCATCATACTAACGTTTCCACAGGTGTTGTGATGGAGGGTTTAGGCGGAGTTGGGCCCTACAGTAGAGGAAGCCCCAGCCAGGCTCCCACTCTCAGCCTCGTCAGGTCTCACATTCCTGGACAGCAACCAACCCTCAGGCCGCAGGCCACCACAAATGGAGAGCGGGGGAGGGGGGACTTCACCAGAACGCTCATTTACAGCACTAGCGCCAACATGTCCATGAAGGGCTTGTCCCTCGGCAGGCGGGCAACATGCATAGTGATAACACTCGGCAGTTACACGTTCCAGCCTGTTGGGCCTGCGATTGTGCAGCCCTGTGTGACAGCACACTCTTTCTCTACCATAAAGGGGCGGTTCAGTGTTCTGCATGACATACACCCTCTTGCTACTGAGGGGTGTGACTTCTGGCTTGATTCAGCTTGAAGTTGCTTCGTCACTTTGCTGCTCTGCACCCCTTCGTTGTGATCCTGCATGCATTGCAACTGGGTGACAGCGGCTGGTTGTTTAATGTGTATGCGCCTTGTGGGCATGATGGGCTATCCTTGTGCAGGCCTGCCAGCTTGCAAGCTGCAGCTCCGGCAAGACTCGCAGAACCAGGACCTGTTCTTCTTTGAGCCCATGGACACTGTCAGTGCTGCAGCTGCCACAAGTGCTGGTGTGAACAGCATGTTCTTCCTGGACCCCGAGGGCAGGCAGATAGCTGAGCTGAAGAAGTGGCTGGACCTTGCCGAGGATGAGTACTGTATGGGGAGACCCATCCGGCCGCTGTTCATCAACGGTCTGGTCAAGGTGGGATATAACGGCCTGACCAAGGACGGAGAGCTCCTTGTGCAGCTTGTGTCCAACCCACATGGAACAGGGTTTGGAGTGAGAAGATTAGGCGTGGTAGATGGGTGATGCATGCAGCTTTGTGCACTATTGAGTAATGCACAGCTGAGCGACCAAGGGGAATGCACGCTTACCATCTTGCGCCCATCTTGTGCCCGTTGTGCAGACTGGCAAGTCCTACATGCTCAAGGAGGTTCTGCCTGCTGTGGCCAACACCTACTACAGCAGCGGCGGCAGTGGCCGGCAGCACGCTGGCACGGTGCTTTCAGAGCCCAACTTCCTGCGCGTGAACTGCTTGGGCTGTGATCGCAGCAGAGGTGTCAGTGGCTTCCTTAAGGAATTCCTCACTGTACTCAAGGAGAGTGCCGCCGACCAGCGGCTCTCTGCTGCCGCCAGCACGCCTGCACCCAGCGGCAACTCGGCTGTCACCGCAGCAGGTGCCATTCGGAACTTCATGCGGCGCCTGCCACGGGACCGCCTGAACTTCCTGCTGGTTGACGAGGCGCAGAGTTTTTACCTGCTTGAACGGGCCATGCCCGGCAAAAAGTCGCCCGGCAAAAAGTCGCCCGGCAAAAGTCCGCGGCGAAAAGTCACTGTACGCGGCTCAACACTGGACGAGGATGCAGTGCGGCACATGCGGCGGTAAATCAGCACAAGGTTTCCCTAACCGTGTCGTGTGATCACATGGGCGAGGATGAGGGGCAATGGCCAGTGAAACGCGCCCAGGTGGAGCTTCACACGAGGGGCAGAAGGCACTAAGGGGAGATCACTGCGAGATTCAATTGTACAACATAAGCATATTGCACAAGGGGCAGAGGTCTGCACTCATGCCTACAGCAGGCGTACGACACAAAGGAGCTGACACATGGACCATTTTCCTTCCCTCAACTGTCGTGTGTACTGCAGCATCTTCAAGGGACTCCTGCTGGACAGCCCCCACTGGGTCGCCTGGGCCGTCACGGGCAGTTCCATG